CATTCAAGAGCATACGTTTCCAATACAACTAAAAGTAACTAAAGTTGTACCGATTCTTAAAAAACAAGGGGATATTAATTCCACAAAAAATTATCGCCCCATCTCATTGGTTCCAATATTTGGTAAAATATTTGAAACGATATTGAAAAATCAGTTAAGCGAATTCTTTGAAAGTTTATCACTCTTCAATTATTCACAATTTGGTTTCCGCAATAAGAGATCAACAACTCTAGCTACAAATTCGTTATGCTCGGAGATACTAAGGGCTTTCGAACAAAAACAAAATTCTTTATTAAGTGTATTTGATTTGCAAAAAGCATTTGACACTGTTTGTCATGATATATTATTATACAAGTTAAAATATTATCTTCGTTCTGAAAACAGCTTAAAATTGATCAGATCTTATTTGACTGACAGACAACAATATGTATATTTCAATAATTCAGCATCATCTAAGCAAAAATTAGTTGCAGGAGTGCCGCAGGGGTCAGTGCTTGGGCCATTTTTATTTTTGGTTTACATTAATGATATATCAAATCTAACTTTACATGGTAAATTGGTTTTATTTGCAGATGATACGTCAGTTTTAATTTCTGGGAAAGATATTTACAGAATAAATGAAATGTCAAGTGAAGCCGAAACACAAATAAGTAATTGGTTCTCGGCGAACAAATTGTTAGCCAATAAAGACAAAACGCAACATTTACTTTTTTCACTTTCAAGTGAGATTAATAAAAATGACTACGTAAAATTTCTTGGTTTCTATCTTGATGGGAAATTGACCTGGGAGATTCATATTGATCATATGTTAAAAAAATTGGCAACTAAATTATTTCTGCTCCGTAAGCTTTATAGTGTTGTTTCTCAAAATATTCTTGTTACTGCTTATTTTGGCACAATTCACAGTATTATCTCTTATGGTATACTCATTTGGGGTCATTCTGCTCATGCTGGAAGGATATTCGCTTTTCAGAGAAAATGTGTTAGGGTTATTGGTGGACTCGGATACAGAGAAGATTGTCGACAATTGTTTACAAAATATGGTATTATTACAGTTCCGTGTGAATTTATATTGCAATGTCTTTTATTTATTTATCAAAACCAAACGAATTATGGCTCTGGCGAACATGAATACGCCACTCGATATAGGCATTTGTTGCGAAATGATTTCATTAGACTTAAAAGATCTAAAAATAGCATTGCTCACTATTGTGTGGAATTTTACAACGCGGTACCTACTGCAATGAAAAAGGCTAATCTCAATCAATTTAAAGTATGTATTAAGAAAATACTGATCCAAAATGCATTTTACTCGTTTGAAGAATTTTTTCAATTTATGAAATCAATGCAAAACTAATGTGCTTTTCCTTTGTTAGTTATGATTTAGTATTAAGCTTTTGTTAATTATTTTATGACGTGTGTAAATATTTTGTATGGTAACACAAATATATATTACTATTACTATTACTATTAGAATTCGACTTCGATTTTCCAATTTTTCGATTTTTCGATTTTTTTTTTTTTTAATCTTGGATTTTGAGATTTTCCGATTTCTCATTTTTTTATTTTTCAGTTGTCCCATTTTTCAGTTTTTTAAATCTTTAAGTTTTTCGATTTTTCAGTTTTTCGATTTTTCGGATTCTCGATCTTTTGATGTTTGAATTTCTTGATGTTTCGATTTTCAAATTTTTCCATATTTCAATTTTTCAATTTTACCATTTCCCATTTCAATTTTGCGATTTTTCGATTTTTGGTTTATTTTTCGATTTTTTTGACTTCCCGTTCCTTTGAAAATGTTTCGATTTCTCGATGTTTCAATTTTTCGATTTTTCGATTTCTCAATTTATCAAGCTTTCGTTTTCTCAATTTTTCAACATTTCAATTCTGGAAATTTTCATATTATGGATTTTTCAATATTTCGATTTATAGGATTCGACTTCGATTTTTCAATTTTTCGATTTTTCGATTTTTTTTAATCCTGGATTTTGCGTGTTTCCGATTCCTAGTTTTTTTATTTTTCAGTTGTCGGATTTTTCAATTTTTTAGATCTTCAAGTTTTTCGATTTTTCGGCTTTTCGATTTTTCGGATTCTCGAACTTTTGATGTTTAGATTTCTTGATGTTTCGATTTTCAAATTTTTCGATGTTTCGATTTTTCAATTTTACCATTTCCCAATATTTTGACTTTTCAGTTTTGGGATGTTTCTATATTCAAATATTTCGATTCTTCAATTTTTTATTATTTGATTTTTAAATTTTTCGTTGTCTGGATTAATCGACATTTTGATGTTCCAATTTTTCGATTTTATGCTAATTTGAATTCTATATTTTTCGATTTTTTTGACTTTCTCGTTCCTTTGATGATTCGATTTTTCGATTTGTCGATTTATCAAGCTTTCGTTTTCTCAATTTTTCAACATTTCAATTCTGGAAATTTTCATATTATGGATTTTTCAATGTTTCGATTTCTAGGATTCTCCGATTTTTCGATTTTTTTTTAAATGATGGATTTTGCGATTTTCCAATTTCTCGTTTTTTTATTTTTCAGTTGTCCGATTTTTCAATTTTTAGGTATTTCAATTTTTCGATTTTTCAGCGTTTGGATTTTTTGGTTTTTCGACTTTTCGACTTTTCGATTTTTCGTATTCTCGATCTTTTGATGTTTAGATTTCTTGATGTTTCGATTTTCAAATTTTTCGATATTTCGATTTTTCACTTTCACCATTTCCAATTTTTTTGACTTTTCAGTTTTGGGATTTTTCGATTTTCAAATTTTTCGATTCTTCATTTTTTCATTTTTTGATTTTTAAATATTTTATTTTCTGGACTAATCGACATTTTGGTGCTCCAATTTTTCGAATTTATGCTATTTCGATTTCTATATTTTTCGATTTTTTTGACTTCCCGTTCCTTTGATGTTTCCATTTTTCGATTTCTCGATTTATCAAGCTTTCGTTTTCTCAATTTTTCAACACTTCAATTCTGGAAATTTTCATATTATGGATTTTTCAATGTTTCGATTTCTAGGATTCGACTTCGATTTTCCAATTTTTCGATTTTTTTTTAATCCTGGATTTTGGGATTATCCGATTTCTCGTTTTTTTATTTTTCAGTTGTCCGATTTTAAAAATTTTTTAATCTTCAAGTTTTTCGATTTTTTAGCTTTTCGATTTTTCGGATTCTCGATCTTTTGATGTTTAAGATTTCTTGATGTTTCGATTTTCAAATTTTTCGATGTTTCGATTTTTCAATTTTACCATTTCCCATTTCAGTTTTGGGATTTTTCGATTCTTCAATTTTTCATTTTTTGGTTTATTTTTCGATTTTTTTAACTTCCCGTTCCTTTCATGTTTCGATTTCTCGATGTTTCAATTTTTCGATTTTTCGATTTCTCGATTTATCAAGCTTCTGTTTTCTCAATTTTTCAACATTTGAATTCTTGAAATTTTCATATCATGGATTTTTCAATGTTTCGATTTTCCAATTTTTCGATTTTTCGATTTTTTTTTTTAATATTGGATTTTGCGATTTTCCGATTTCTCATTTTTTTATTTTTCAGCTTTTTGATTTTTCGGATTCTCGGTCTTTTGATGTTTAGATTTCTTGATGTTTCGATTTTCAAATTTTTTGATGTTTCCATTTTTCATTTTTGGGATTTTTCAATATTAAAATTTTTCGATTCTTCAATTTTTCATTTTTTGATTTATTTTTCGATTTTTTTTTTACTTCCCGTTCCCTTGATGTTTCGATTTCTCGATGTTTCAATTTTTCGATTTTTCTATTTCTCAATTTATCAAGCTTTCGTTTTCTCAATTTTTCAACATTTCAATACTGGAAATTTTCATATTATGGATTTTTCAATGTTTCGATTTCTAGGATTGGACTTCGATTTTTCAATTTTTCGATTTTTCGATTTTTTTTTTAATCCTGGATTTTGCGATTTCTAGTTTTTTTATTTTTCAGTTGTCCGATTTTTCAATTTTTCAGATCTTTAAATTTTTTGATTTTTCAGCTATTTCAATTTTACCATTTCCCAATTTTTTTGACTTTTCGATTTTTTTTAATCCTGGATTTTGCGATTTTCCGATTTCTCGTTTTTTTATTTTTCAGTTGTCCCATTTTTCAATTTTTTAGATCTTTAAATTTTTAGATTTTTCAGTTTAACGATTTTTCGGTTTTTCGACTATTCGATTTTTCGGATTCTCGATCTTTTGATGTTTAGATTTCTTGATGTTTCGATTTTCAAATTTTTCGATGTTTCCATTTTTCAATTTTACCATTTTTGATTTTTTGATTTTTAAATTTTTCGTTGTCTGGATTAACCGACATTTTGATGTTCCAATTTTTTGATTTTATGTTATTTTGATTTCTATATTTTTCGATTTTTTTGACTTCCTGTTCCTTTGATGTATCGATTTCAATCAAATTATGGATTTTTCAATTTTTCGATTTCTCGGATTCAATCTTTCGACTTTTCTTCGATTTCTAGATTTTTTTAAACCTTGGATTTTGCGAGTTCGCGATTTTCCGTTCTTTTAATTTTTCAGTTCGATTTTTCAGTTTTTAGATCTTTAAATTTTTCGATTTTTTTGATACTTCGATTTAATACTATTTCGATTCTCGATATTTCAGTTTTACCATTTCCCAACTTTTTAACTTCAGTTTTTTTATTACTCTTCAATTTTTCGATAATACTTCTCGAAACTCTGGCGTCAGACAACAATATTTTAAACTCAACTCAACTTGTAAAAAATCTTTTGAGCTTTTAGTGTTTTATTTTTTACGAATTTTTCCATTATTAAATTGTATAATTTATTGCTGGCAACAGTGTTACAGTTTTTGTCCGATTTTCTAACCTTCGATTAAAAACAACTTAACCTAATACGATAAATTTTAATTTTCACTAGGGTTTTTTGCGTATACGAAATTAGTTGCCATCCAAACTACTACATTTACATGGCCTACTTCTGTCTAAAAACATCCTAAACGATACATACATACCTGGAGGTCTCAGACTGAACACCGTGTCATAAATCAAATTGCACAACAACTTCACGTTGTGTCTAGTTTTGCAACTGATTTCGATCGTATCCAAGACACGTGGTAACCCACACTTCTCCGCGTCCACGATATTGATAAACCGATCTCTAATAATCTGTTGGTACTCTTCAGAAATGTTCGGATTAAATTCCTGGACTACGTCGTAGTGTGTTCCGACTATGATGACGGGAGAGTTGGGGGCTCTCGCTTGGATGTTGACCAACCATTGTAGAATTTCGTTTATACCTCGATGTCCGTCTATTATGCGCCAAACCACGAGGTATAGACTCCGTTTCGACAAAAAATACTGATGAGTGGCGTAATACCTAAGCATGTAGGTGAACAAATGCGTTATGTGGTCTAGACGAACTTACTCCTTTTGGCCACCGAAGTCCCAGGTTCTGAAAATCACGGGACCGTGTGATGATTGGTTGCGTACTTTTTTTTCGTAGACCCAATCGCCTATGTCGACTCCGACTGTCGACATGTTCGTGCCTCGTGAAGTCTTCACGTTGATGTTTTTGTTCCCCATTCTTTTAGCCCAGTGCTATAAAATTACACAACAGGTAAATTTTTTTCAGGCAAAAAACAAAAATACTCAAAAACGGAAATATCGAGAGATCGAACAACCGAAACATTCAAACATCGAAATATTGATAGATTAAGAAATTGGAACCAAAAAATTTTACAAACCGAAAAATTGGAAAAATTTAAAATTCAAAAATCAATATTTTAAAAATCGAAAAATTGAAAAACCGAGAAACAAGAAATTTTAAAAATTGAAAAATTGGAAAACCTCAAAAAAGAATTAAAATATCCAAAAATTCAAAAATTCAAAAATTGGAAGTTTCAAAATTGAAATGTTAGAAAACTGAGAAATGGAAAACTTGAAAAATCGAGATTTTGGTACATCAAAGTCGAAGAACTGTAAAGTCAAAAAGCTGAAAAATCAAGAAATCGGAAAATATAAAATTTCAAAATTTAAAAATCAAAAATCCAAAATTTAAAAAATTGCAAAATTGAAAAACTGAAATGTCGAGAAATGGGAAAATTCCACAACTGAAATGACGAAAAATTGAGAAGTCAAACATCAGATCAAGAAATCGAGAAATCGGAAGTTAATAAGCCGAAATCGAAAAATTGAAAAATCTAATAATTGAAAATTCAAAAAATTGTAATATCAAAAATTGAAAAATTGAGAAATCTAAACATCAAAAGATCGAAATATTGAAAAATCCCAAAACTGAAACATCAAAAAATTGGGAAATCGAAAAATTGGAAAATCGAGAAATCGAAAAGTAGAAAACTAGAGATATCGAAAAATTGAAGAAGTGCAAAAGTGAAAAATCGAAACAAGGCATAAGAAAAAAATAAAAAAATCGAAAAATCGGGTTGAAAAATCGAGAAAAATGGAAACCTGAAAATCGAAAAAATGAAAAATCGAAAAATGAAGATTTAAAAAAATGAAAAATCGAAAAATCGGAAAATTCGGAAATAGAGAAAAACGATGAAATTGAGAAATCGAAAATTTGAAGAATGGAAAAATTATAAAAAACCCAAAACGGAAATATCGTTTGAGTAATCAAAAAATTGAAAAATAAAAAATCAAGAAAAATGGAAAAATGAAAATTCGAAAAATTGAAGAAGCGAAACATTGAAAAATCCCATAATTGAAATATCGAAACATTGAAACATGAAAGAAAAAGGACGAAGGACGAAAGAGGGTGAAAAAGACGAAAAAGGACACAAAAGGACGAAAAAGGACGAAAAAAGACGAAGAGGACGAAAAGGACGAAACAGGGCGAAGAGGACGAAAAGGACGAAAACGGACGAAAAAGGACGGAAAAAGGACTAAAAAGGATGAGAAAGGCGAAGGACAAAAAAGGACGAAAAAGAACGAAGGACGAAAGAGGACGAAAAAGGACGAAAAGGACGAAAAAGGACGAACAAGGACGAAAATGACGAAAAAGGACTAAAAAGGACGAGAAAGGACGAAGGACGAGAAAGGACGAGGGACGAAAGAGGGTGAAAAAGACGAAAAAGGACACAAAAGGACGAATAAGGACGAAAAAAGACGAAGAGGACGAAAAGGACGAAACAGGGCGAAGAGGACGAAAAGGACGGAAAAAGGACTAAAAAGGATGAGAAAGGCGAAGGACAAAAAAGGACGAAAAAGGACGAAGGACGAAAGAGGACGAAAAAGGACGAACAAGGACGAAAAGGACGAAAAAGGACTAAAAAGGACGAGAAAGGACGAAGGACGAGAAAGGACGAAAGACGAGAAAGGACGAGGGACGAGAAAGGACGAAGGACGAGAAAGGACGAAGGACGAGAAAGGACGAAGGACGAGAAAGGACGAAGGACGAAAGAGAACGAAAGAGGACGAAAAAGGACGAAGGACGAAAAGGAGAAATCAAACATCAGATCAAGAAATCCAGAAATCGGAAGTTAATAAGCCGAAATCGAAAAATTGAGAAATCTAAAACTTAAAAATTCAAAAAACTGAAATATCAAAAATTGAAAAATCTAAACATAAAAAAATCGAAATATTAAAAAATTCCAAAACTGAAATATCGAAAAATTGAAAATGGCAGAAAAATTGAAGGATGTATCTAAAAACTGAAAAATCCCAAAACTAAAACATCAAAAAATTGGGAAATCGAAAAATTGAAGAAGTGAAAAAGTGAAAAATCGAAACGAGGCATAAGACAAAAATAAAAAAATCGAAAAATCGAGAAAAATGGAAAACCTGAAAATCGAAAAAATGAAAAATCGATAAATGAAGATTTAAAATGAAAAATCGAAAAATTGAAAAATTTAAAAATTGAAAAATCGAAAAATTGAAAAATCGGAAAATTGAAGAGTAGAAAAATTGGAAAAGTGAGAAATGAAAAAACGATGAAATTGAGAAATCGAAAATTTGAAAAATGGAAAAATTATAAAAACTCAAAACGGAAATATCGTTTGAACCAAAAAATTGAAAAATGAAAATTCGAAAAATTGAAGAAGCGAAACATTGAAAAATCCCATAATTGAAATATCGAAACATTGAAACATGAAAGAAAAAGGACGAAGGACGAAAAAAAATGAAAAAGAAGAAAAAGGACGAAAAAAGACGAAGAGGACGAAAAAGGGCGAAGAGGACGAAAAGGACAAAAAGGACGGAAAAAGGACTAAAACGGACGAGAAAGGACGAAGGACGAAAGAGGACGAAAAAGGACGAAGGACGAAAGAGGACGAAAAAGGACGAAGGACGAAAGAGGACGAAAGAGGACGAAGGACGAAAGAGGACGAAAGAGGACGAAAAAGGACGAAGGACGAAAGAGGACGAAAAAGGACGAAGGACGAAAGAGGACGAAAAAGGACGAAGGACGAAAGAGGACGAAAAAAGACGAAAGAGGACGAAAAAAGACGAAAGAGGACGAAAAAAGACGAAAGACGATAAGGACGAAAAAGGACGAAGGACGAAAAAGGACAAAGAACGAAAAAGAATGAGAAGGACGAAAAAGGACTAAAAAAGACGAGAAAGGACGAAGGACGAAAGAGGACGAAAAAGGACGAAGGACAAAAAGGACGAAAAAGAACGAAGGACGAAAAAGGACGAAGGACGAAAAAGGACTAAGAAGGACGAAAAGGACGAAAATGAGGAAAAAGGACTAAAAAGAACGAGAAGAACGAAAAGGACGAAGGACTAAAAAGGACGAAAAAGGAGGAAGGACGAAAAAGGATGAGAAGGACGAAAAGGACAAGAAGGACGAGAAGAACGAAAAGGACGAAGGACGAAAAAGGACGAAGGACGAAAAAGGACAAAGGACGAAAAAGAACGAAGGACGAAAAAGAACGAAGGACTAAAAAGGACGAAAAAGGACGATGGACGAAAAAGGACGAAGGACGAAAAAGGACGAAGGACGAAAAAGGACGAAGGACGAAAAAGGACGAAGGACGAAAAAGGACGAAGGACGAAAAAGGACGAAGGACGAAAAAGGACGAAGGACGAAAAATGACGAAGGACGAAAAAGGACGAAGGACGAAAAAGGGACGAAGGACGAAAAAGGGACGAAGGACGAAAAAGGACGAAGGACGAAAAATCGATAAATTGGAAAATCCCAAAACTGAAACATTGAAAAATTTAAAATAAAAAATATGGATAAACCGAAAAATTGAACAATAAAAAAATCGAAACATCGAAATCTGGATAATCGAAAAATTGAAAAAGTGCAAAATCTAAATCCGAGAAGTTGAAAATTGAAAGATCGAGAAATCATAACAAAAAAACTGAAAAATCTACAATTCAAAAATTCGGAACATCGAAAACTCAAAGAACTGAAAAATTGAGAAATCGAAAAATCTAAAATTTTAAATTAAAAAAAAATGAAAAATGGAAGAAAAAATTAAGAATCGAAAAATTGGAAAATCGAAAAAGTAAAAACCGAGAAAACCAAAAACGGAAGTCGAAAAATTCAAAAATGGAAGAAAAACTGAAGAATCTAAAAGTTGAAAAATCCCACAACTGAAACATTGAAAAATTCAAAAGGCGAGAAATCAAAAAGTCGAAAAATTGAATAACTGAAAAATCGAAACATTGAAAAGTCTAGAAACCGAGAAACGGAAAATCAAAAAATAGAAAATCTAAAAACTTAAAAAATTGAAAAATCGAAAAATTGGAAAATTGAGGAATCGAAAAACGATGAAATTGAGAAATCGAAAATTTGAAGAATCGGAAAATTGTAAAAACCCAAAACCAAAATATCGTCTGAGTAATTGAAAAATTGAAAAAGTAAAAAATTGAGAAAAATGATGGAAGAAAAATTGAAGAATGGATAAATTAAAAAATCCCAAAACTGAAACACTGAAAAATTTTAAATAAAAAAAAATTGATAAATCGAAAAATTAAACAATAAAAAAATAGAAACATCGAAATCTCGACAAATATAGAAATTGAAAAATTGAAAGAACGCAAAAGTGAAAAAGCGAATAATTGGAAAATCAAAAATTTTAAAAATTGAAAAATTGAAAAATCGGAAAATCTAAAACCGAGAAGTCAAATATTGAAAGATTGAGGAATCAAAACATAAAAAAAACTGAAAAATCTAAAATTCAAAAATTCGAAACACTGAAAACTCAAAGAACTGAAAGCCGAAAAATTGAGAAATCGAAAAATCTACAATTTTAAAAATGCAAAAAAAATATGTATTGAAAAGTTGAAAATCGCCAAACACCGAAAAACAGAAAAATCGAAAAAGTAAAAAACCGAGAAAACGAAAAATAGAAGCCAAAAATTGAAAAATGGAAGAATCTAAAAGTTGAAAAAACCCTCAACCGAAAATTTGAAAAATAGAGAAATCGAAAAATTGAAGAATTGAAAAACTAAAAATGCCAAACATTGAAAAGTCGAGAAACCGAGAAATGGGAAAATCAAATCAATTAATCGAGAAATTGAGAAATCGAAAATCTGAAAAATTGTAAAACTGAAACATCGGAAAATTGACACATCGAAAAATGAAGAAATCAAAAAACTCAAAATTTGAAGAATTTAAAAATTGAAAAACGAGCAGCCGAAAATTCGAAAAATTTAGAAATCGAAAGTTGAAAGATCGAGAAATGAAAAAAAAACTGAAAAATCCAAAGTTTAAAAGTTTGAAACATTGAAAACTTAAAGAACTGAAAAACCGAAAAACCGACAAAACGAAAAATGGATGTCAAAAAAATCATGGAAAAAAATTCGAGAATCAAAAAAATTGAAAAATCGGAAAATCGAAATGTCGAAAACTGAAAAATCAAAAACTGAAAAATTGAAAAACTGAAACATCGGAAAATTGTCTAATCAAAAAATGAAGAAATCAAAGCTTTGTTATATCTTCAATTTTGATTTTTCAAAAAAAAAAATCAACACGGATTCATAAACTATACATGGAGGAGTACGTTATTTTATAAAATTTAAATAACATTTACTATTGTAAAATTTGGGGAGGACGTCATTCCAAGGTTGGTAGGGATGAACAGTAGTTTTGGAGATTATCTATCGAATAAAAATCCGGACAGACAACAGACAGACAGACTAACGGAAACGGAGACCTATTCTTCGCACTGAGGGTTATTAAACGTCGAAAAAACATGAAAGAAGCCAGTCGCCCGATGGATTCGATTACAAAAATCAATTTTACCAAAACATAAACGAAATTAAGGTTCTTAAAAAGAATGAAACGCAATATACGTTTCGTTGTAAACAAACAAAATTGCGTTTCACTCGTTGTTTACAACCTCACCTCCGGCCGCCTCCTCGTGATTCCCTCCTGCCTCAGCTGCTCCAATAAACTAGTTTTCCCGATGCCTTGCACTCCCACGATCATCAGCTTCATGCGAGCGTAGGGTCTAGCGTCTTCCAACACAGACTTCAAATACCCCACAATATCCATCGTCTTGTATTTTTTACTATCGATCATCGACTTCAACGGATCTTGCAAAGAACATCCGCGCGTGTTGAGGTTCCATAATCGAGATAACAGCCCCATTTGTGGTGGGAGTTCATTAATGTCTAAAAATACGCGCCGTTCTAATTTTAAAATTTGCCCGCGCCAATTCTCTCACTCACCTAAGTTACCGCTGATATTAAGGACGGATAAGTTGCTCAGTTCGTTGATATTGACGGGGATCTCCTTGAGATTGTTGTTGCTCACATCTAACATTGACAAATTGGGAAACATCAAACGAGCTTTTCCCGCGGCGGGGTTCTACAAAATCACCACTGATACTATACGGTCGGAAAAAACGAGCAAAGGAAGAAGCACAGGCCATGTTTGCTGGGATTTTTGAACACAAAGCAAAAAGCCCTGCTCTGAAATGAAAAACCACGTACCCCGACTACCTTGGAAAAAGATACACAAATAAAGTCATCTTCAAAATGCGTATTAATTTCTTTGCGCTGCACAAATAAAAGAAAATTCTGGTAATGTGGTGTTAGGAGATGGTTGAGAAGTGAACCGGACTTACTCGTTCCAGGTCTTCTTCTTCGACGGTGCTGACGTCGCCGTCGTCGTCGGTGGTTAGTTGGATGCGAGGCAGCTGGTTGTCGGCCAAAATCAACGTTCGCAGACTGTCCAACTTGAGGTGTCTTCTATGGGAACAAACTGAGTGAAGGACGGTGTTGCGAACCGACCTTCCGGGTTGCCTACGAGCTAAACAAACCCTCGTTCAATTTCAAAATCGTAACGTAAATACTAAAGTAGTGAAATTTTAATAACCCTCACCACTTATCCCTGACACCTTTTCTCTGGAACCGAAACTACCTCCATAGCAGGCAATATTGGCCAACTCCATTACATCTTGGGCTTCTACCTGAGGCAAACTCGGCCAACACGTGATTTGATTATGACTCAAATCGAGCTGTTTCAGCGAGCTAGGGTAGCTGGTGATGTGCGACATTGACCTCAAGGTATTAAAAGCCATGTTGAGTCTTGTCAAATTCACCGCCAAACATGGCAACACTACTGGAATGCTAGTGAAGAGGTTGTGTGCCAAATTCAAAGCAGACAATTTGGACGAATGTTCCGTCACAGATTCATCAGCGTGCAGAATTTGCTCTGTCACTTCCACGTTTTTGCTCCAAATGTGGTGCTTGGCCAAGTCAAACTGACTACAAAAGAATCAACATAGACAAATTCACACAGACACGTAAAATCTACATACATAAAAGACCTATCCTTTTTCCTATATCGTACACATTGACTCGTTTCATCGTTGGACAAGTACTTCGAGTCCAACTCGAAATCGCACCGGATGTCAGTTTCGCCGTCGTGTTCGCAGTGACTTGACAATTGACTATCGCTGGAACTGACACTCATTTTGTCGCATTCATCGGGGGTCTACAAAAGTCGGAAAATGAACAATAAATTTAAGTTGTGCAACTGTGTCTATTCTTCGTTCCGCTTTAGCTCTATTATTTATTTTTTTTTCCCAAAATTAAATACATATCCCGATTTTTCATTTTTTCGTTTCCTCAATTTTTCAAGTTCTTGATTTTTATTTTCCATTTTCCAATTTTTAAATTCTTCAATTTTGCAATTTTTCGATTTCCAGTTACGCGATTTTCCGATTTCTTCAGTTTTCAATACTTCGATATTGAAATATATACATATGTATTTCGTTTTGTCGATTTTTAAATTTCTGAATTTTAATTTCTCGATTTTTGAATTTCCACTTCTTAGATTTTTCATTTTATACATTTTCGTTTTTTTCTCTTTGATTTTTCAATTTTACAATTCTGCAATTTTTGCATTTGTTTTTATTCGAAAAGTTGAAAAAAAGATCGGAAAAAATTGAAAAATTGAAAAACTGAAAAATTTTTGGTTTGGCAATTTTGAATTATTGGCAGCAATATTAGAAGTTAGTTGTGTCAATTTTGACATAAGCCCGCCAAAAAACCATTTCAAAATTGGGTATGCTATTATAAAATTTTAAATGTGTTGCCAAATTGACAAAAAAAACATTAATAGTCACTCGGTATTAGAAATAAAAATTCTACATATGTATTTTAATCATTTCAAACATAAGATTATGCTCATTTTCGTTGGTGAGTAAGAATGGCTTCAGTTCTGACCTGGACACTTTTATTTTCTGATATCTGGTGACTTCTGGCACGCGACAACTTTGAGTTGTAGATATTCCTTACAACTGTAAAACGAGAATTCGAAGATCTAAGAATTGAAAATGGAAAAACCGAAAAATCAAAAATTTGAAAATCGTGATTTTGCAAAATCAAAAAATCCAACAATCGAAATGTAGAAGAAACGAAATATCGAAAGTCGAAATATGGAAAAATTGAAAAGTGGAAAAATTGAAAAATCGAAAATTAAAAAATCGAAAATTCGAAAAACCGAGAAATCAAAACATCGAAAAATTCTAAAATTGAGACATCTAGAAATCGGAATATCAAAAGAGCAAGAAATCAAGAAGTCGAAAGTCGAGAAAATATTAAGAAACCTAAAAACCGAAAAATAGAAATGGTCCAAAATTGAAAAATTTAAATTAAAAAAACAAACGAAAAATTGATCATAAAATCGAGAAATTGAAAAATCTAAAATTTATGAAATCAAAAAATTAAAATACCAAAAATCGAAATGTAGAACAAACGAAATATCGAAAGTCGAAAAATGGAAAAATTGAAAAGTGGAAAAATTGAAAAATCGAAAATTAAAAAATCGAAAATTCGAAAAACCGAGAAATCAAAACATCGAAAAATTGTAAAATTGAGACATCTAGAAATCGGAATATCAAAAGAGCAAGAAATCAAGAAGTCGAAAGTCGAGAAAATATTAAGAAACCTAAAAACCGAAAAATGGAAATGGTCCAAAATTGAAAAATTTAAATTAAAAAAAAAACAAACGAAAAATTGATCATAAAATCGAGAAATTGAAAAATCTAAAATTTATGAAATCAAAAAATTAAAATACCAAAAATCGAAATGTAGAAGAAACGAAATATCGAAAGTCGAAAAATGGAAAAATTGAAAAGTGGAAAAATTGAAAAATCGAAAATTAAAAAATCGAAAATTCGAAAAACCGAGAAATCAAAACATCGAAAAATTGTAAAATTGAGACATCTAGAAATCGGCATATCAAAAGACCAAGAAATCAAGAAGTCGAAAGTCGAGAAAATATTAAGAAACCTAAAAACCGAAAAATAGAAATGGTCCAAAATTGAAAAATTTAAATTAAAAAAACAAACGAAAAATTGATCATAAAATCGAGAAATTGAAAAATCTAAAATATAAGAAATCAAAAAATTAAAATACTAAAAAACTAAGAATAGAAAACTTGAAAAATCGAATAAAAATTGAAGAATCGAAAAACCCAAATACATATATTAAAACTGAAACATCGAAAAACTGAGATATCGAAAAATTGAAAAATCGAGAAATCCCAAAGTAGAAAAATCTCGAAAAATTGTTTTTTTTTTACCAGACCTGAATTTAAAAATCAAAAAATCGAAAATTTAAAAATTCGAAAAATTGAAAAATAAAAACATCTAAAAACTGAAAAATCGAAAAAAAAAGAAGTCGAGAAATGGAAAAGACGAAAATTTTAAATATTAAAAAATCGAATGATTGAAAAAGCTAAAAATCAAAAGTCGAAGAATTAAAAAATCGGAAAAAATGAAAAATCGGAAAACTGAAGAATCGAAAAACTAAAGAACACCGAAATTTAAAAATTGGGAAATAGAAAAATTGCAAAAATTGAAAAACTAAAACTACGAGAAACCACGCATCAAAAGATCGAGAAATCGAGAAATCGAAAAGACGAGAAGTCCAAAAATCGAAAAACTGGACAATCGAAAAAATGAAAAATTGAAAATTTAATAACCGAAAAATTACAAATTTTAAAAATCAAAAAATTGAAAAAACGAAAAATCCAAAGTCAAGAAGTCGGAAAATCTAAGAATTGAAAATGGAAAAATCGAAAAATCAAAAATTTGAAAATCGAGATTTTGAAAAATCAAAAAATCCAGCAATCGAAATGTACAAGAAACGAAATATCGAAAGTCGAAAAATGGAAAAATTGAAAAATGGAAAAATTGAAAAATCGAAAATTAAAAAATCGAAAATTCGAAAAACCGAGAAATCAAAACATCGAAAAATTGTAAAATTGAGACATCTAGAAATCGGATATCAAAAGAGCAAGAAATCAAGAAGTCGAAAGTCGAGAAAATATTAAGAAACCTAAAAACCGAAAAATAGAAATGGTCCAAAATTGAAAAATTTAAATTAAAAAAACAAACGAAAAATTGATCATAAAATCGAGAAATTGAAAAATCTAAAATATAAGAAATCAAAAAATTAAAATACCAAAAAACTAAGAATCGAAAACTTGAAAAATCGAATAAAAATTGAAGAATCGAAAAACCCAAATATGTGTATTAAAACTGAAACATCGAAAAACTGAGATATCGAAAAATTGAAAAATCGAGAAATCCCAAAGTAGAAAAATCTCGAAAAATTGATTTTTTTTTTTGACCAGACCTGAATTTAAAAATCGAAAAATCGAAAATTTAAAAATTCGAAAAATTGAAATATAAAAATATCTGAAAAATCGAAAAAAGGAGAAATCGAGAAATTGAAAAATCGAAATATTAAAAAATTGAATGATTGAAAAAGCTAAAAATCAAAAGTCGAAGAACTAAAAAATCTAAAAAAATGAAAAATTGGTAAACTGAAGAATCGAAAAACTAAAGAACACCGAAATTTAAAAAATTGGGAAATCGAAAAATTGCAAAAATTTAAAAACTAAAACTTCGTGAAACGACACATCAAAAGATCAAGAAATCAAAAAGACGAGAAGTCCAATAATCCAAAAATTGAAAAATTTAATAACCCAAAAATCACAAATTTTAAAAATCAAAAAATTGAAAAAATGCAAAATCCAAAGTCAAGAAATCGGAAAATCAAAAGTTCAAACATTCCAAGCTCCAAAAAACTGAAAAATCGAGAAATCGATACATCAAGAAATCGAAAAATTGAAAAATTGAATTAGCTCCAAATCGAAAAAATTTAAAATTCAAAACCCGAAAAATCGAGAAATTGAACACTCGAATAATCGAAACATCGAAATCTCCATAAATCGAGAAATCGAATAACTGAGAAAACGAAAAAATCGAAGGAAAATTGAAGAAATGAAAACTGAAAAATCCCAAAACTGAAACATCAATAAATTGAAAAACCAAAAATCTGAAAAATAGAAAACTTGAAAAATCAAAAAATCAAGGAATTGATACCTAAGAAATCGATTAATCGAGAAATTGAGAAATCGAAAATTTAGAAACGTCAAAAATCGAAAAACCCAAATATTTTAAAATTGGAAAATCCTAAAATTGAATTATTAAAAAGCTGAGTAATCGAAAAATTGAAAATCGAGAAACTGAAAAATTGAAAAAATGAAGAATAAAAAACGGAAAAATATTGAAAAATTCGAAAATTGAAGGTTGAAAAATCGAGAAATTGAAAACCTGAAAAATTTAAAACTCGAAAAGTCGTAAGGTCGTGAAAGAATTGAAATTCTGAGAATCGAAAAATCGAGAAGTGGAGACACCAAAACAGAAAAGTTGAGAAATCAAGAAATGAGAAAATCAAAATATCGAAAAATCGAAAATTCTAAAAATGTAAAAATGGAGAAGTCGAAAAATCGAAAAATCGAAAAGAAATCAAAACGAAAATTTGAATATCGAAAAACAGAAAATTCGATGAATCACATACATATAATGTATTCGAAAAAACAGAAATCCAAGAAACAAAAAATCGAAAATCTAAAAATTGAAAATGGAAAAATCGAAAAATCAAAAAGTTAAAAATCGAGATTTTGAAAAATTGAAAAATCCAACGATTGAAATATAGAAGAAACGAAATGTTGAAAGTTGAAAAATCGAAAAGTCGAAAAATGAAAAAATTCAAAAACAGAGGTACAGAAATTAAAAAAAAATTGAAAAATCGAAAAATCGAAAAACCAAGAAATCAAATCATCAAAGACGAGAAGTCCAAAAATCCAAAAATTTAGAAATGGACTGAAAATCACAAACTTTTAAAAATCAAAAAATTGAAAAAACGAAAAATCCAAAGTCAAGAAGTCGGAAATTCAAAAGTTCAAAAAATCGAAACTCCAAAAAACTGGAAAATCTAAAATTTAAACACTCGAAAAAATGAAAAATAGGAAGCGAGAAAGTGAAAAATCGAGAAATCGAAACATCAAAAAAATCCAAAAATGAAAGAACCATCGAAATTTTGAAAAATCCCAAAAATTGAAATATCGAAAAATTGAAAATGTAAAATTTAAGCATGGAAAAATCTAAAAGTCGAAAAATCGAAAAATTGAACCGAAATATTGATAAATCCCAAACAGAAATACCGAAAAATTGAAAAATCGAAAAACTGAAAATCTCAAAACGAAAATTTCGGTTATTTGAGAAATAAATTCATTATTATTACTGTTAAATTGAAATAGCCCCAAATCGAAAAAATTAAAAATTTAAAACCCGAAAAATCGAGAAATTGAACGATCGAATAATTGAAAAAACGAAAAGTCTAAAAATCGAAGTCGAATGATCGAAAATTTAAATAATCGAAAAACTGAAAAACCCAAAAACCTGAAAAATAGAAAACTTGAAAATTCCAAAACTCAAGGAATCGAGAAGTCAAATGCCCAAAAAATCGGTTAATCTGGAAAGTGAGAAATCGAAAATTTAGAAAGTCAAAAATTGAAAAACCAAAATATTTTAAAATTGAAAAATTGAAAAATCCTAAAATTGAAATATTAAAAAGCTGAGTAATAGAAAAATTGAAAAACTGAAGAATTAAAAACAGAAAAATATTGAAAAATCCGAAAATTGAAAGTTGAAAAATCGAGAAACTGAAAACCCGAAAAATTGAAGAATCAAAAAACCAAAACATCGAAAAACGATACATTAAAAGATTGAGAAATCGAAAAGTCCAAAATTAAAAAAAACTGAAAAATCGGAAATAGAAAGTCGAAAAACCAAAAAATCGATTAACCCAGAAATTGAAAAATCGAGAAATCGAAAAAAATTAAAAAATCGAAAAATTTAAAAATCTCGGAACGGTCATTAGAGAAATAAATTCACTATTATCATTATTGTTGTTAAATTGAAATGGTTCAAAATCGGAAAAATTAAAAAATTAAAAATTTAAAAACCAAAATTGAATCGCAAAACCGAAAAAATCGAAGAAAAATTGAAGAATCGAAAAACCAAAATATCTCAAAACTGAAACATCGAAAAACTCGAGAAGTCGAAACGCCGAGAAAGAATTGAAATTCTGAGAATCGAAAAATCGAGAAGTGGAGACACCGAAGCATTGAAAAGTTGAAATGAGAAAATCAAAATATCGAAAAATCGAAAATTCTAAAAATCTAAAAGTGGAGAAGTCGAAAAATCGAGAAATCGAAGAGAAATCGAAAACAAATCAAAACGAAAATTCGAATATTGAAAAATCGAAAATTCGATGAATCACATATATTTATGTATTCGAAAACAGAAATCCAGAAAAATTCTAAAATTTGAAAATCGAGATTTTGAAAAATCGAAAAATCCAGCAATTGAAAGATAGCAGAAACGAAATATCGAAAGTTGAAAAATCGAAAAGCCGAAAAATGGAATAATTCAAAAATCGAGAAACAAAAATTTAAAAAGTTGAAAATTTAAAAAATCGAAAAACTAAGAAATCAAATCATCGAAAAATTGTAAAAATGAAACATCTAGAAATCGGAATATCAGAAAAGCAAGAAATCAAGAAGTCGAAAGTTGAGAAAATACTAAGAAATCCAAAAAACGAAAAATAGAAATAACCCAAACTTCAAAAATTTAAATTAAAAAAAACAGAAAAATTGATAAAACTGAAAAATCATAAAACGAGAAATCGAAAAATCTAAAATTTAAGAAGTCAGAAAATTAAAATATCAAAAAACTAAGAATCGAAAAGTTGAAAAATCGAATAAAAATTGAAGAATCGAAAAACTAAAATATCTCAAAAATCTCAAATGGAAAATTCTAAAAATCTAAAAGTGGAGAAGTCGAAAAATCGAGAAATCGAAAAGAAATCAAAACGGATATCGAAAAACAGAAAATTCGATGAATCACATATCCGAAAAATTGAAAATCTAAAAATTGAAAATGGAGAAATCAACAAACAAAAATTTTGAAAATCGAGATTTTGAAGAATCGAAAAATCCGACAAATGAAATATAGAAGAAACGAAATGTCGAAAGTCGAAAAATCGAAAAGCCAAAAAATCGAGAAATCGAAATTAAAAACATTCAAATATGGAAAAATTGAAAATTCGAAAAATGGGAAAAACGAAAAACCGAAATAATGTAAAATTGAAATATCTAGAAATCGGAGATAAGAGCAAGAAATCAAGAAGTCGAAAGTAGAGAAAATATTAAGAAATCTAAAAATCGAAAAATAGAAATAGTCCAAAATTGAAAAATTTAAATTAAAAAAAAAATCGAAAAATTGATAAAACTAAAAAATCATAAAATGAGAAATCGAGAAATAGAAAAATCCAAAGTTTAAGAAATCAAAAAATTAAAATATCAAGAAACTGGAGAATTGAAATTGAATAGAAATTGAAGAATCGAAAAACCAAAATATCCCAAAACTCAAACATCGAAAAATTGAAAACTGGGGAAGTCTAAGAGTCGAGAAAGAATTGAAATTCCGAAAATCGAAAAATCGAGAAGTTGTGAAACCGAAACATCGAAAAGTCGAGACATCAGAAAGTCAAAATACCAAAAAATTGGCTTTTGCAGTTTCAAAGTTAAATTGGAAAATGTTGTAATATAATTTTGATTTTTCCCAAAAATCTGGATGTCGGAGGTAAAAATTCAATACGAATTCATAAACCGGACAGACAACTGACATACAGACAGACCAAAACGGAGACCCATGAAACCTCGAGAAAACATAAAAGTTGCCAGTCACCCGATAAACTCGAGTACAATACTTCCTTAGCTTACGCTCGGGAAGTAAAAAGTCGTATGATTTTTAAATAGCATACACTAAAATTATTTTCAACTATCCACTGTGTAAGATCATTTTAGGGAATTGAGAGAGAAAAATGCTTTCTTCCTTCCTTCCTCCCTCATCTATAATAACTAAACCGAGCTCAATAACAAACAATGAAACGAAAATCTGAAAATCTTATATAAAAACTAATAATTAACACAAATGAAATCTTAAAAAAATAATTTGAGCTCGTTCACTCGAAAAGTCAATAATTCAACATGGCAGCAGCGTATGGAAAAGCGGAACGAAGAATATGTTCCGCCTGCTCGAAAAATGAGCCGCTCTACTCACCTCCGACACGTTCGTCGGCAACTCCTTCAGCAAATTAAACGAGGCATTCAATTCTTTCAACTTCGGCGCCAGCCACATATTATACGGAAGTTGCTGCAACTTATTATTCGAAACCACCAGCGTGACCAGCGCCGGTAACCTAAACACAGCCTCCGGAATATGATCCAATCGATTATCCTGCAAATACAGCTCCTCCAGGACCGGACACGAATAATTCAGCTCCTCGTTATGAACACTTTTTCTCCGCAAACCTCTCTTCGCCGGCGACGCCACCGGAATCGGCAACTTCTCGATCTTGTTTTGACCCATATTCAAGTACCTCAAACTGTACAACTGAAATACGGCCAAAGGGACCGAATTTAAATTGTTGTTGGAGATGTCCAAGCGCGTGATTGCGTACAAAGCTATGTCGTAGCTGCGCGGATTCTGCTTGAGTTTCTGATTTAAGTGTAAGGCGGCGTCTGTCAACCACTGGGTTCGGATTTGGGACAGGTTGCACTTTTGGTTGTGCCAGTTGATCATTGTGGGTGTGTTCGGGAAGAGGGCGCTGTATGTGAGATTCGTGACGTTGGAGAAAATGGTGAACTGAGACGAGTTGACGTTTTCGGTCATCGCTTTTTTGTTGATTTTGAATTCTGGGTCGGGGTGGGCTTTCGTGGATAGGAGTTTGGCGGTTAAAGTTTCGTCTTTGTTTTGTACGACGACTGAGAGGGCTTTGCATTCGTCATCTCGAGCACCGTACTTAAGTAATAAGTCGACTATAGGCACGTCGCGGTTCTTACAAGCTTCCACTAAAGCGGTGGATTGTCCATAGTTGGAGTCTTCTTCAATTGAACAACAGCTCAAACTCTAAAACTGACTATTAAAAAATGTTTCTAGGTTTGGCTACACCTACCTCTAAGTCTTGATACGCTTTAATCACACAATTCGCGTTGGCTCCGGCGTTCAACAAAGCCAAAGCTATATCATAGTGCTTGCCTTTAACCGCTGCATGCAGAGCCGTTTCCGTGTTATTATTACAATACATGTCGATGCGCAACGGGCAAATCATGGAACAGTTGGGATCGACCTTAAATTTCTTCAATTAGTTACACAAAACAAAAAAACAACAACGTCCTTACTTCCATGCTACTTTCCACCGAGTTATCTCTCGTCAAATTCAGTTTGGATAAAATCGACTGAATACCATCGGAAATTCGCCGCCTCGTCGGACTAATCACTGAATTACTTTCCGAGACAGGTGTTGCTTCATCGTCCTTCAACTCCCACAATAAAGACACGACTTAAACAAAACGAAACTAACTCACCGGTTGTAACCTGGTCGCTTTCACTTTAAACTTTAGTATGACGTCTAAAAGTTTCTTGTTTCCTACCAAGCATGCCATGTAGAGTATGTTTTGGCCAGTCGCGTCACGTTCGTTGATATCAAAAGGCATATAATATTCCCATTGTTCGGATCCATCTCTGGAAATTATTTATCGGATTTCGATTTGGAAGGTCCGGAATACAAATACCTGAATTTTCGTAACACGTGTGTGGGGTATGGGAAATAAAAGAGGAGTTCCAAGACGGAGACGTGGCCGTTGATGGCGCTTGCGTGGATTGGGAGCCACCTTTCCACGGTGTGTTGCTAGAAAAATGATTGATGGAATTAATTAACTAATTTCGTTAACAATGTTGATTAATGAATGACCTGATGTAGAATAACATGTGGGGTTTCTTTTATGTCTGGGGTGAAAATGAGTTAGGAAGCCCTAAAAAATAATCTTTCTATTCTTGGACTGGTTGGCAAATTTAAGTCGCAAAAGAACACAAAGAAATACATAATTGCGAAGGATAGTAATCACACAATGTTTTTAATGGGAGGATTAGTTTAACATATGTCTGAATATAAGCGGAAGAAGAAATAAGGTTGAGATATGATAAATTTATTTTTGTTGAACTTCTTGTTTCTGTTTACAGGTCATGCTACATTTATACAAAAAATCAGTATAAGATAGACTAAAATAAGCTTCATACAATAATAGTAGAAAAAAAATTGGTCGAAGGTTATTTCCTCGTCCCTGAAGTGTGGTCCAACAAATCCCGCTTTTCGAAAAACTGAAAAATTCGAAATATCGAGATCGAACAATAAAAAATTGAAACATCGGAATAAATTGAGAAACCTAAAAATCCATAAATTCAAACGTTTCTAAAATTGAAATGTTGAAAAACTGGGAAATCGAAAACTTGAAAAATCGAGAAATCTCAAAATTGAAAAATTCGAGACATTTTAAAGGTCGAATACCCGAAATGTCAAGAACTCGAAACGTCAAAAACACTGAAAAATCAAAAATTTTAAAATTCGAAAAATTAAAATATATGGAAATATCGAAAATATAAAAATCTAAAATTTAAAAATTGAAAAACCCAAAAGTAGAACAACCGAAAAATTTCAAAACTGAAACAACGAAAAATTGGAAAATCGAAAAATTGATAAATCGAAACATCGACAAATTGGAAAATCGAAAAGTCGAGAAACCGAAACATCGAAAAATTCAAAAACTAAAACATCGAGAAATCGAAACAACAAAAGATCGAGAAATCGAAAAATCAAGAAGTCGAAAAATCGAAAAATTGGGATATCGAAATAGGCCAAAATCGAAAAGTTCAAAATAGAAAAATCGAAAAGTCGAGAATTCGAAAAATTTTAAATTTTACAAATTGGATAATAAAAATTTTGTAAAACTGAAAAATCGAAACATCGATAAATCGGAAAATCAAAAAGCCGAAAAGGCAAGAAGTCGAAAAATCGAAAAATTAAAATATCGAAAATTCAAAAAACGAAACATCAAAAAAATCGAGCAATCGAAAAGTCAAGAAGTCGAAAAGTCGAAAAATTCAGAAATCGAGACAGGCCAAAAACGAAGAGTTCAAAATAGAAAAATCGAAAAATTTTACACTCAAAAAGATCAAAAATCGAAAAACTGAACAATAAGAAAATGGAAACATCGAAATCTTCATAATTCGAGAAAAATCGAACAATTTAGAAACGAAAAAATTGAAAAATCGAAAAACCGAGAAATGAAAAATCCAAAATTTAAGAAAACTCAAAAATTGAAAAATCGGAAATTGGAAAATCGAAAAGTCCAGAAACCGAAAGATCGAAAAATTCAAAAACTGAAACATCCAGGAATCGAAACAAAAGATCGAGAAATCGAAAAATCGAAAAATTGGGAAATCGAAATAGGCCAAAATCGAAAAGTTTAAAACAGAAAAATCGAAAAATCTAAAATTTAAAACTTCGAAAAATTGAAAAATCGAAAAATCGAGAATTCGAAAAATCAAATATTTTTAAAATTGAAAAATTAAAATTTCGAAAAACTGAGGAATTGAAACATCCATAAATTGGAAAATCAAAAAGCCGAAACGGCAAGAAGTCGAAAAATCGAAAAGTTGAAATATCGAAAAATTCAAAAATCGAAAAATTCAGAAATCGAAATAGGGCAGAAATCTACAATCGAAAAATTCAAACATTGAAAAAACAGAAGAATTGAAAAACTGAGTCGAAGTCGAAGTCAAGAAATCGGGAAATAGGAAAATCAAAATGAGAAATCGAAAAATTGAAAAATCGTAAAATTGAAACAACCGAAAATTGAGAAATAAAAAAATGAAGAAATTGGAAAAATTGAGAAATTGAAAAATTCCAACACTGAAACATCGAGAAATTGAGAAATCCGAAAATTGAAAAATTGAGAAATCGAAGTCGAAAATCAAAAAATTGGAAATTTAAAAACCTAAAAATTGAGAAATCGACAAATCGAAAAATCTAACATATTAAAAATTCTAAAATTAAAAAATCGAGAAATCGAAACATCATAAATCGAAAAATTGATAAATTTAAAATTTAAAAATCGAAATTTTGAAAAATCAAAAACCTGAAAATTAAAACATCGAAAAATTGAGAAATCTGAAAATTGAAAAATCGAGAAATCGATGTCGAAAAATCAAAAAATTGGAAATTCTAAAACCTGAAAAGTGAGAAATTGAAAAATCGAAGAATTGAAAAACTGAAAAGTCGAAACAATCAAAAGTCGAGAAATCGAGAAATCGAAAAATCTAAAACATTGAAAATTGAAAAATTGAGATTACGAAAAATTGAAAAACGGATAAATCGAAATATCAAAAATCGAAAAATTGATAAATCTAAAATTTAAAAATCGAAAAATCTAGAAATTGAACAATCAAAAAATGGAAACACTGAAATGTCGATAATTCGAAAAATAGAAAAATTGAAAAATCGAAAAAGTGAAAAATCGAAAAATCAAAATTTAAAAAATCGAAAAAAGAACAATCGAAAAATCGAAATGGCAAAGATCTAAAAAATCTAAAATTTAAAAATTCGAAAAATTGAAACATCGAAGAATTGAAAAATTGAAAAGTCGAGAATTCGAAAAATCTAAAATTTTAAAAATTGAAAAATTAAAATTTCGAAAAATTGAAAAATAGAAATATCGATAAATTAGAAAATCAAAAAGCCGAAAAGTCAAGAAATCGCAAAATCAAGAAATTGAAAAGTCAAGAAGTCGAAAAATTCAGAAATCGAAATAGGCCAAAAACGAAAAATTTAAAATAGAAAAATCGAAAAAATCGAATAATTAAGACACCGAAAAATTGAAAAATCGAAACATCAAAAATTTTAAAATTCGAAAAATTGAAAAATCGAAAAATCGAAAAACCTAATATTTTAAAAATTGAAAAATTAAAATTTCGAAAAATTGAAAATTTGAGAGAACGAAAATTCGAAAAATCAGACACCTGCAAATCGAAAAATTGCAACATAAAAAAACAGAAGAATTGAAAAACTGAAAAATCGAAATTTTGAAAAGTCGAGAAAACGGGAAATAGGAAAATCAAAAAATCAAATAATCGAGAAATTGAGAAATGGAAACATTGAAAATTTTGAAACGTCAAAAATTGAAAAATCGAACAACTGAAGTCGTAAAATTGAGTAATCGAAAAATTGAAATTGAGAAACTGAAAAATCGAAAAATTGAAAAATTCCAAAACAGAAACATCGAAAAATTGAGAAATAGGAAAATTGAAAAATCGAGGCATTGGAATCGAAAAATCAAAAAATTGAAAATTCAAAAAGCTGAAATTTGAGAAATCGAAAAATTGAAGAACACTGAAAAGTCGAAACAATCAAAAGTCGAGAAATCGAAAAGTCTGAATTCTTAAAAATTGAAAAATTAAGATTTCGAAAAATTGAAAAACTGAGAAATCGAACCATCAAAAATCTAAAAATTGATAAATCGAAAATTTGAAGAATCCAAATACATTTTGAAAAATCCCAAAACTGAAATATCGAAAAATTGAAAATTGAAAGAAAAACTGAAATGTCGAAAAACTGAAAAGAGGAAGAAAAATTGAAGAATCCAAAAATTGAAAAATTCCAAAACTGAAACATCGAAAAAATGAAGAGTCGAAAAATTGAAAAATCACAAAATTGAAACATCGAAAAATTGAAAATCGAGAATTTGAAAAGTCGAAAAACTGTAAAATTGAAAAATCAAAAGCCTGAAAACGAAAAAATCTAAATAAAAGTCGAGGAATCGAGAAATGAAATAATTAAAAAATCAGTTGAAGAATTGAGATATCGAAAAATTGAAAATTTGGAATCGTCAAAAATTGAAAAAATGAAAAATCGAAAAATTTAGAAAACGAGGATTCGAAAATATGAAGAATCGAGACATTGAAGAATTCAAAAATTGAAAAATCCCAACAGTAAAACATCGAAAAATTGAAAATCGAGAAAATGGAAGACAAACTGAAGAATCGAAAAATTGAAAAACTCCAAAACTGAATCATCGGAAAATCGAAAAATTGATTAATCGAAAAAGTAAAAAATCGAAAAATCGAAGAATCCAAATACATATTGAAAAATTCCAAAACTAAAATATCGAAAAATTGAAAATTGGAAGAAAAACTGAAGAATTGAAAAATTGAAAAATGGAAGAAACTTAGAAAAATTGAGAAATCGGAAAATTCAAAAATCAAAAACCCGAAAATCAAAAAATCGAAAAATTGAAAATCGAGAATTTGAAAAGTCGAAAAATTGTAAAATTGAAAACTCAAAAACCTGAAGACGAAAAAATCGAAAAATTAAATAATTGATGAAATATTGAAAAGTCGAGAAATCGAGAAGTGGGAAAAAAATCAGTTAATTGAGAAATTGAGAAATCGAAAAACTGAAAAACGATAAAATTGAAACAACCGAAAATTGAGAAATAAAAAAATTAAGAAATTGGAAGAATCGAGAAATTGAAAAATTCCAACACTGAAACATCGAAAAACTGAAATCCAGAAATCGAAAAATTGAAGAATGGAAGAAAAACTGGAAATTGAAAAACTGACACATTCCAAACTGAAACATCGAGAAATTGAGAAAACTGAAAATTGAGTCGAGAAATTGAAGAATCCAAATACATATTGAAAAATCTCAAAACTGAAATATCAAAAAATTGGAATAAAAACTGAAGAATGTAAGGAAAAATTGACGAATCAAAAAACTGAAAAATTCCAAAACTAAAACATCCAAATTTTGATAAATCAAAAACTTGAAAATTGAAAATTCAAAAACCTGAAAAGCGAAAAATTGAAGGATTGAAAAACTGAAAAGTCGAAACAATCAAAAGTCGAGAAATCGACAAATCGAAAAATCTAAAATATTAAAAATTCAAAAATTAAGATTTCGAAAAATTGAAAAATGGAGAAATCGAAAAATGAAGAATCGAGGAATTGAAAATTGGAAAAATCGAGAAACCGAAAAAGCGTAAAACTGAAGAATGGAAGAAAAATTGAAGAATCAAAAAACTGAAACATCGAAAAATTAAAAAATCGAGAAAAAAAGTCGAAAAATCAAAAAATTGAAAATTCAAAAACCTGAAAATTGAGAAATCGAAAAATTGAAGAATTCAAAAGCTGAAACATCGACATAATCAAAAGTAGAGAAATCGAGAAATCGAAAAATCTAAAGTATTAAAAATTGAACAACCGAGAAATCGAAACATCAAAAATCGAAAAATTTAAGAATCTAAATACATATTGAAAAATCCCAAAATTAGAATATCGAAAAATTGAAAAATGGAAGAAAAACTAATGAATTGAAAAACTGAAACATGGAAAAAAAATTAAAGAATCGAAAAATTGAAAAGTTCTAAAACTGAAAAAACATGGAAAAATTGAGAAATCGGAAAACTGAAAAATCAAAAATCTGAAAACTGAAATCGAAAAATTGAATAATTGATGAAATATTGAAAAGTCGAGAATTCGAGAAATCGGATAATCAATCAAATCAGTTAATTGAGAAACTGAGAAATCGAAAAATTGAAAATTTGGAAAAGTCAAAAATTTAAAAATTTAAAAATCAAAAATATAAAAATGAAAGAATTGAACAGTCGAAAAATTGAAAATTCGTAAAACCCAAACATCGGAAAATTTAGAAAACTTGAAGAATCGAGAAATCGGAGAATTCAAAAATTGAAAAATCCCAACACTGAAACATCGAAAAATTGAAAATCGAGAAATTGAAGAATGGAAGACAAATTGAAGAATCGAAAAATTGAAAAATTCCAGAATTGAAAAATCGAAAAATGGAAAAATCAATCAATCGACAAACTGAAAAACCGAAAAATTAAAAAATCCTAGAAAGAAAATTGAGAAGTAGAGAAATGAAGAAATCCAGAAATCAAAAATTTAAAGAATGGAGAAAATGAAGAACGAAAAATTAAAAATAATTTTGATTTTTTTTTTTTCCAAAAGTCTCGAAAAAGAAAAAACATCTCTAGAATGAAAATTCAACGCGCATTCATAAACCACGAGTTCAGGACTATGTTAGGAGTACTTTTTAGGGTAACATTTAATTAACATTTATTCGACAAGATTGGAAGATGGCATCAATTCCTGGGGGAACAAGAACGGGTAAATTTTGATTAACGATTTACCATGCTTCCATGCTCGGAAAGTAAAAAAGATACAAGAAGTTTTAACACCAATAATAAACAGAACAGATCTGAATTTGCTAACAGCAAAAACAGTGAAAATTTTAAACGGGATATTGCATATTTTAATTTAAATGGAGTTTATTTTGCAAGACAATAATTGAGTAAAATATTTGCATAACAAATAAACCCGGTTTAATATTATTATACTCAAAAGTGTGATAGAGATTACACTTTTAATTCTATTAACTGCAAGCTGAAAATAAAGACGAAAATATTAACTTCTCAGTGACGTTTCTAAGTCTCCAGTTTCCGTCTGTCTGTCTGTCTGTCTGTCTGACTGACGTCTGTCCGGATTTTTTTATTGGTTCAACTTGTAAAAGTTCTTCAGTCTAAATATTATTTATAACTGCTACTTGAACAATGAAAAAACCGCATAGGTTATCAATTAGAAACTCTCTTAGATACAAAAATACAAGTCGACTTAATTTAAAAATCGTGGTAACGTTGTTATTACCTGTATAAGTTCAGGAAACCGTAGAAGCAGCATCTCTACTATATCTCTATGACCATAGTGACACGCAATATACAAGGGTGAGTACTTGGTGACGGGATGATGTCGCCCGTCAGCTCCATGCTCCAGCAGTACCTTAACTATATCCTTACAGCCCGTCTGGCAAGCCCTGAAACAATCATCCTCGATCCGTTCCCAGCGCACCAAACCAAACCTTACGTAAACAACAAAGTGCTGGCCCCGCTCGGTGCCATGTTGACAATAAGTTCGGCATCTTTGGACAACGAGGACAGCAACGAAGAAACGGAATTGACATCCCCTTGACAACAGGCGTCCCTGAGCGCTGCATGGATGTCGAGCCTGGCCTTTTCCCTCGCATCTAAAACCAACACATAGAAAAAATTTCGACAATCACCCAAACACCTTGCCTAATTCTACATTAAAATTGCTAAAATCGTCGGTGAAATAATCACAGGCGTCGAAGGCGACTTCCGGGGACGTGTTGTGTCGTTTGAGTTTGTTAGACATCGCGGAATCGCAAAAACGTACTTATAAAAAATAGAGAATCTCGAAAAATACGCACATTCGTACTAAAACGGCCCACATGTCAGCACATTTACCCCCTCCGAACAGCTGTTGGCAGGGCGCGAACTAAATCAATAAGACTGCAAGGACGCAACAGCGTAACTCGATCGACGCCCCAATCTAAGTGAGCTCTTTGCGGTTTTGGCTGCGAACCGGTTGAAAAAGAAACCCATTGTTGATTAGCTCTATTACTTACGATTACGGCGGACTAGTCGTTCAATTTCCGCTGTTGAACCAGCCCGTGAAATTGAACTTCCTATGCAGCAGGAGGACGATGAGGAAAGTCAGGATGAGCACTAGGATCGCGGTGAAAATGCATCTTGCCATAACGACATACAAAGTCATCGGGTTATTGCGATTGTTGTTATTGTTATTGCTAGTTACGGGCGGTAATTGGTTCGAACGGACTGTGATACACGCGCCGAACGAGACTGAATTGAACCATTTTACAAAGTTCAACTCACAGCGATGAGCTTTCGCTATGTGTGTACTTTGATAAAGAAATGTTACAGATTCGTGGTAAAGGTTATCGGTTGTCGTTGGTCGATCTCGGACTGCTGGTGTCGGAGGAGTACTAAATTTTAGAAAACAGAGGGCGATGACGGTTCACGGTTCAAATGATTCATTGCTTTTTGGAGGCGTAAGTTTAGGAAACACTGATGAGTTTTAGGAGCGATAACGGTGATAACGATGAGTTTATTTAAACAGATCGAAATTCACTAATAATGACCAATAAATAAATGACAATCCACGAAAATTTATCAAATATTTTTAAACATTTATTGGACTTTTTTGTGAGATGACAATATCAACCAATAGAATTATTATAAAGCTAACAACTGCTGAACCACGCAAATCACGACAATCTAAACCGCACTTCAAATTTCAAGTTGGTTTGCCAATTTCTAGGAGTGTCTGTCTAATTAATTTTTCGACAAACAAATAACTGTTACAGTCAAACGCAAACGGGAAACCCGGATTTTCGTAATCGATGAACTGTGATAAATGCTGCTATTGTAAATGTTATTTAAATTTTATAAAATAAAGTACGCCTCCATTTGTGGTTTATGAATCCGTGTTGAATTTGTACCGTAGACAACGAGATTTTTGGAAAAACAATCAACAATTTTTTGATTTCTCAATTTTCCGATATTTCAGTTTTAGGATTTTCCATTTTTTCGATTTTTCCATTCTTCAATTTCTCGTTTCTTTAAATTTTAGATTCTCCAATGTTTCAGTTTCACAATTTTTCAATTTTCAGATTTTTAAATGTTTCAATTTTTCAATTTTTGACGTTTTCAAATTTCTCAATTGCTCGTTTAATCGATTTTCTGATTTTCCCATTTCTCGATTTCTCAACTTTTCAATGTTTTTTAATTTCCCATTTCTCGATTTCTCGACTTTCCAATGTTTTTCAATTCTTCAATTTCTCAATTTTTGAATTCTTAAATTTTTCTTCCATTTTTCAATTTTTCGATATTTCGGTTTTGAGATTTTCAATATTCCGATTTTTCAATGTCTCGAATTGTCTATTTTTCAATTTTTCGATTCTCCAAATTTAATATTTTTCGATTTCTCAATTTTTCGATTTTTCAATTTTTGACGTTTTCAAATTTCTTAATTTCTCGTTTAATTGATTTTTTGATTTTCCCATTTCTCGAATTCTCAACTTTTTGGAAGTTTTCAATTTTTCGATTTTCAGGTTTTTAATTTTTCAATTTTTCGATTTCGATTTTTCGGTATCTCGATTTTTCAACTTTTCGATGTCCCGTTTTGGGACTTTTCAATTTTTCAATATTTCAGTTTTGAGATTTTTAATATTTCGATTCTTCAATTTTTCGATTTTTCAATTTTTGACGTTTTCAAATTTCTTAATTTCTCGTTTAATTGATTTTTCGATTTTCCCATTTCTCGATTTCTCAACTTTTCATTGTTTTTCATTTTCCCATTTCTCGATTACTCGACTTTCCAATGTTTTTTAATTCTTCAATTTCTCGATTTCTCAATTTTTGAATTCTTGAATTTTTCTTCCATTTTTCAATTTTTCGATATTTCGGTTTTGAGATTTTCAATATTCCGATTTTTCAATTTTTCGATTTTTCAATGTCTCGAATTGTCTATTTTTCAATTTTTCGATTCTCCAAATTTTATATTTTTCGATTTCTCAATTTTCCCATGTTTCAGTTGTACAATTTTTCAATTTTTAGATTTTTAATTTTTCGATTTTTCAATTTTTGACGTTTTCAAATTTCTTAATTTCTCGTTTAATTGATTTTTTGATTTTTCCATTTCTCGAATTCTCAATTTTTTGGAAGTTTCAATTTTTTAGTTTTTCAATTCAATTTTTCGATTGCGATTTTTCGGTATCTCGATTTTTCAACTTTTCGATGTCCCGTTTTGGGACTTTTCAATTTTTCAATATTTCAGTTTTGAGATTTTTAATATTTCGATTCTTCAATTTTTCAATTTTTCTTCGATAATTTTGTGATGTCAGTTTTGAGATTTTCAATATTTCGAGTCTTCAATTTTTCAATATTTGAAATTGTCAATTTTTCAATTCCTCAATTTCTCGATTCTTTAAATTTTAGACTTTTCGATTTCAGAATTTTCCGGTGTTTTAGTTTTACAATTTTTGGAGTTTTAGATTTTTATATTTTTCGATTTTTCAATTTTTGACGTTTTCAAATTTCTCAATTCCTCGTTTAATTGATTTTTTGATTTTCCCATTTCTCGAATTCTCAATTTTTTGAATGTTTCGATTTTTCAATTCTTCAATTTCTCGATTTTTCAATTTTTTGATATCTCGACTTTTCGACATTTTGATTTGTTAATTTTTAAAATTCTAGATTTTTTGATTTCTCATTTTCAGTCCATCGATTTTTCAATTTTTCGAATTTTAAATATTAGATTTTGCAGTTTTTTGATCTTTCTGTTTCTCGAGCTTTCGATTTTTCTACTTCCCAATTTTAGATTTTTCGGTTTTTCAATTTTTCAGTTTTCAAATTGTTTAAATTTTTCGATTTTTCGATGTTTCAGCTTTTTAAACTCTTCGATTTTTCAATTTTTTTATTTCACGAATTATCTAAATTTTCATGTTTCAATTTTTTAATTATTCAATTTTTCGGTTTTTCAGTTTTTCGTTTTCCCAATTTTCCACCATTTCAGTTATAGAATTTTTCAATTTTCGATTTTCAAGTTCTTCGAATCTTCAATTTCCAGATTTTTCAATTTTAACGATTTTTAGTTCCTCGATACTTCTATTTTTCAATTTCTTAAATTTAATTTTGTTTTATAAATTTTTGGATTTTTCGATTTTTAAATTTTTCTGTTTCTCGATTTATCTAGATTTCGAAATTTTGATTTTTTGATTGTTCAATTTTTCGATTTTTAAATTTTTTAGTTTTGTATATTCTTTGATTTTTTGATTTTTCAATTTATTATTTCTCGATTTATCGAGATTCCGATGTTTCAATTTTTTATTACTTTTAATAACTGTTCAATTTTTAACTTTTAGATTTTTCAATTTTAACCTATTTCAATTTCTCAATTTTTGGATTTTTTGGCTTCTCGACTTTTTGATTTCTCTATCTTTTGATTTTTCGATTTCTCGCTTTTTCGTTATCCCAATTTTCCACCATTTCAGTTTTAGAATTTTTCAATTTCTCGATTTTTAAGATTTTCGATTCTTCAATTTCCCGATTTTTCAATTTTAGCGATTTTTTAAATTTTGAATTACCCATTTTTAAACCTTGGATTTTCGATTTTTCGACTTTTTAGTTCCTCGATACTTCTATTTTTCAATTTTTCGAATGTTTGGATTTTTAATTTTTCAATTTCTTAAATTTTACATTTTTCGATTTATTTTTCAATTTTTCGAATTTACGATTTTTTTATGTTTAGATTTCTTGAGATCTCAGTTATTTGATTTTGATTTTTTTTCTCAATTTTTCAATTTTTCGTTTTATAAGTTTTTTTGGATTTTTCGATCTTTAAATTTTTCTATTTCTCGATTTATCAAGATTTGGAAATTTTTATTTTTTGATTGCTCAATTTCTCGGTTTTTTAATTTTTCAATTTTTAAATGGTTTTAATTTTTCGATTTTTCAATTTTTCAGTTTTTTATATTCTATGATTTTTGATTTTTCAATTTTTTTATTTTTCGATTTATCGAGATTTCGATGTTTCAATTTTTCGATATTTCAATTTTTTCGTTTTGTTTTTTTAATTTTAAATTGTTCGATTTTTCAATTTTAACCTATTTCAATGTCTCAATTTTTGGATTTTTTGACTTCCCGATTTTTCGATTCTCTATCTATTCATGTTTCGATTTTGCACTTTTTCGATGTTTCGTTTTCCCAATTTTTCATCATTCTAGTTTTAGAATTTTTCATTTACTCGTTTTTTATTTAAGTTTTTCGAGTTTTGAATTTTTCGATTTTTAAATCTTAGATTTTTCGATTTTTCGAATGTTTAGATTTTTAATTTTTCATTTTCTTAAATTTTACATTTTTCGATTTATTTTTCAATTTTGCGAATTTACTATTTCTTTATGGTTAGATTTCTTGAGATCTCAGTTATTTGATTTTGTTTTTTTTTTTGATTTTTCAAACTTTTAGTTTTACAAATTTTTGAATTTTTCAATTTTAAAATTATTCTATTTCTCGATTTATCAATATTTCGAAATTTTGATTTTTTGATTGATCGATTTCCCGGTTTTTTCATTTTCCAGTTTTTAAATGTTTTTAATTTTACGATTTTTCAATTTTTCAGTTTTTTATACTCTTTGATTTTTAA